TTAAATTATAAAACCACGAGATGTCGCAAATAGATAAGTTATTTATCCGCGGGTTTACAATCCCACGAAAATTGGCGATTTTCGTTATTTTCCGGTGACACATACTACATATGCTCCTCAAAATATAATAAAGTTCCGAAAAAAATGTAGTTTAGTACTTGCTTATGTCAGCAATAGTAAATATAATACCCACCCTCCGAATCTACTAGTTCGAAGAATCTATTCTGTGTGTTTGTGTGTGTGTGAATTTAAATCATAAACTGGTATTAGTTATTTATTGAGATCCCGTCCTTACATAAGTAAGTACTAGGTTTCTTTTATTATTTAATAGGTCGGCAAACGAGCAGACGGATTACCTGATGGTAAGCAATCAGCGCCGCCCATGGACACTCGCAACGGAGGAGTTACGAGTGCGTTGCCGAACTTTTAGGGATTAGGGATTTGGAGATTTAGGGATTGAGGAGGGATTGGGGAAGGGGAAGGATTGGGCCTCCGGTAACCTCACTCACACGGCGAAACACAACGCAGTGGTTATTTCACGCCGGTTTTCTGTGAGGCCGTGGTATCACTCCGGTCGAGCCGACCCATTCGTGCCGAAGCATGGCTCTCCCACATTTAAAAACTAGGTAAATATGCCAAAATACGTATTATACACTAAAGCCTGGCACCATAATTGCAACTTCTCTGCCTGGTGTCGTGGGTGTACATGACCGACGCCGATTGCTTAGATCAGGTGATCTGTCTGCCCGTTTGCCGCTCAAAATAAAAATAAATTAAAAACTCTTCTCATTACCACACGATACTTATATTGGAATGATTGTTTGTATTCTATATTGTAATTGTAAAATATTTTAGCTAGTAGCATTAATTGCAATAATTCAGCTATCCAAAATAGCTTGGATCCGAGAACTCCTCCCGCCCATCCTTTCATACGTAGCTTCGTTACAAATATAACTTTTATTGCTAAATAGGTGACCGGCCATGCGTTGTTTTACTTACCACGAAACACAACAGTTAATATGAAATGCTAACAATTATTGTTTTACTAAGAATTCAAACTGTTTGTGTTATCAGTTTCAAAGTTAATGTCGGATACCTACGTTCTACGAATTCGTTCTTTTCGTCGTAAACTGTAATGTATTATGTAGCGGCACGATCACGTCGCTACATTACTTAGATACGATAGAGATAAGACACACATGTTAATTGTTGCACGTTTGTTAGGATAGCTAAATCTGAAAATCTCACGCATCTCCTTAGTATATAAGCACCAGCAATTAAAGTAATAAACAGACCTTAACCATCTACAGTCTCATTATTTACCTTGCCACGAAGTCTGGCAAATTGGTGACCCGACGAAGAACAATCAACATGACTCATTCACCCTGCAAATCAAGCAGCAGCCAACAAGAAGCCTTGGAGATATCAGCCGGAACCGGAATTTTGGAGGGACCAACCCAGATTATGGTTTAAGCAACTAGAAGCCATAGTAGCACCACAGAAGCAAGGAGACGATTACAAGTACTATACGGTCATTGCAAAACTGCCAAAAGAAGAAATAATACAGGTTAGTGACCTCATTACTTGCCCACCGCCAATAGAAAAATACAAGGCTATCAAAGAACGCCTAATCAGTTGCTATGAGGAATCAGACCAACGTCAGCTCCAAAAATTATTGTCTGAAATGGATCTCGGCGACCAGAAACCATCACATCTTCTGCGCAAGATGCGGACCCGGAGTAACGGAAATATCAGCGACGAAACCATCAAACTTCTATGGTTGAGGCTTCTGCCACCATCAGTGACTTCGGTTCTAGCAGTCACAGAAGACATAGATGTGAACAAGATGAGCCAGATCGCGGACAAGATATTAATAAATTCAACACGTACAGAGGTGTCAGCTGTAAACGGAAACAAATCTGGCGACGATACAATGTCATGCATACTAGCACAGTTAGCAGAAATGCAATTGGAACTAAATGCAATTCAGCAAGGTCAAAAAAAAACTATCGACGCAGCACTCAAAGTTATTCCAATCGTCGGCATTTCCTACCACAGTCAAGTTCAAGAGAAAGAAGGCACTTTTGTTTTTACCATGGAAGATTTAAAAAATATGCACAAAAGTGTGTTCAACCTTGTGATTGGAAACAGGATCTCAACTCAAGGAAACAGGGAAACTAATTGAAGCACGGACAACGGCGGAACTCTGTGCTATTCACCCGTCCAACCGCCTCACTATTACCGACCGAAAAAGTGGTATGAGATTTTTGATTGACACGGGAGCAAATATTTCAGTTATTAGCAAGCCACAGAGACATTCACTAATACAAGATGAACAATGTATACTTTATGCCGCCAATGGTACAAAAATTAAGACATATGGTGAAAAAACACTCTCTTTAAACTTCGGGCTACGAAGAAACTTTGTATGGAACTTTGTCATCGCCGATGTAACACAACCGATTATTGGAGCAGATTTTTTAGAGCATTATAAGCTATTAGTCGATATAGCTGGTCGAAAACTCATAGATAGGGTAACTGAGCTGACAACGCCCGCAACCCTGATCAAATCGACGCAGCAAACAATCCGCACTATTAACATTGAGACGAATCCACGCATTACTCAACTATTAAATGAATACGAGGATATTACGAAACCAGCCTCCCTCCACACTACTCCAAAACACAAGATTAAGCATCATATTATCACTAAAGGACCAAGGAAAATATAAGGAACGCAGTATTAACAGTTCACCCCTCTCGCACCGCCCCTTTGGCACTTATGACGGACGCCAGTTCGACCTGTGTTGGCGCAGTTCTGCAGCAGAAGTCAGGACGTAATTGGGAACCATTAGGATTCTTTTCAAAGAAATTAAGTGATACTCAACAAAAATACTCGACATTCGACAGAGAGTTGCTCGGAATATATATGGCAGTCAAACATTTTCAAAGGTTAGTCGAAGGAAGAGAATTTACTATCTTTACAGATCATCGACCTTTGACTTACGCATTTTCCCAAAAACCGTCATCTAATGATACGCCACGGCGAATACGACAACTGGATTTTATTTCACAATATTGTACCAACATTCAACATATAGAAGGACGTGACAATATTGTAGCAGACGCATTGTCACGGATAGAACAAATTGATGTGCCATCACCGATTAATTATGCTGATTTAGCAAGATGTCAGCATGATGACCAAGAATTATTACGACTTCGTAATAACAAGAATTTAAAATTTTCAATCAGCAGAAACAATCAGCACAAATGCAGTGGATAGTTCATCGACTGCCGCCGCCGTCACAACAAAGGCAGCAGTTTTTATTTCCTTCGAATTAGCAACAATGACATTACATTACGCATAGGATGTAATTTATCAGCAAGGTTAAGTTATTATATAATTAGGTACATACTAATTTTTTTCAATTTATATGTTAATTATTTTTAAAAGGGGGGAGTATATGTAGCGGCACGATCACGTCGCTACATTACTTAGATACGATAGAGATAAGACACACATGTTAATTGTTGCACGTTTGTTAGGATAGCTAAATCTGAAAATCTCACGCATCTCCTTAGTATATAAGCACCAGCAATTAAAGTAATAAACAGACCTTAACCATCTACAGTCTCATTATTTACCTTGCCACGAAGTCTGGCAAATATTATATTCATTTACTTGCCATCATAATTTTCGAGCGATGCGGGCGTTTCATCATTTCTTGGGATGCTAAGGATGTCTAGGGACAAGTGTGGCACCTTTCTGTTACATTTCTCAAGTGTAAAGGACCATTGAGTTTTTTTATGAATCTGTAAATTAGTGACTGTTTAAGCTTGGTTTAACAAACAAAAACATCCGAAATTCACAAGTTTAGAGTCCAAAATTGCATAACAAATATAAAATGTGCGTACTAAAGCAGTTTCAACTAAGGCAGTTCAGCAGTTCTAACGAAGACTGATATAAACGTAGTGCTTATATTCTCTTTGGACTGATATTATATATTTTAGGTATGCAACTTCTTACAAAATCTCCCGAAAAAAGGAAAGAGAAAAAAATACTGTCATTTCTTACGAAATCAAAATGAACCTTTTGAACGATAGAGTTTGCATCGTATTGTGACCTACTTCCTTCAACTTCACAAATTAAACCTTTTTGGCTTTGTAAAAAATCTTGCTTGGCTGTAAATAAATTCGAAAAAGATATCTATTTTTGAATAAATTGATATTCGAACGATATACGTTCTACGAACTTTCTTTAACGCTGCAAAGATCTGTAAAAATCAATTAGCAATCACACTTCAAACTTACAACACGCAGTATAACAAAAATTAATAAAAAACCAAAAAAAAGTGAAAATATCCTACAAGCTCGCTACTCCTGCAGTATTTGTTTGCGACGGTTTAGTTGTTCGTTGCTCGGATCACGTCAAGATGCCTTGCTACCCGTGCTGTAGTCCGTGCTGCAGTCCCTGCTGCAGCCCCTGCTACTCGTGCTGTTCGCCGTGCTACTCGTGCTGCGGCGGCTGTTGCTATGGCGGCGGCTGTTGCTAGAGGCATCCTGTGCGCGGCCGGGGCTCTGCGGGGCGCCACGGCAGGAGTCGACGGCGGCGCAGTTACACGAGCGCTGATGCTCCGTTCAGAGCACCTGGCTCCTCGTTACTTACGGTTGTGGCGAGTTGAACGTGGAGTGGGCGTGAAGTTGTGCCTCCATGAGCTCGGGGGCACGTGCGCTGCTTGACTCTGTCCGCGCTGTCTGCCGTCTGAGTGAAATGGAACTCGAGGCAATCCAATCAGCTGACTACGGCAACCCACGAGGGCCCCGACTTCCTACAGTTCCGAAGATGTCGCAGTTAATCCGTTCGCAGTCATGAACTAGTGTTTTATGTCTGGATTTTTTGTATAAATATACGTTCAGGTCACATACACATCTGGTTTAATTTATTATTGATTCCACCGGCGTTAAGTTGGGAGGCTTCGCCTCTGTGGTGTGGGCCTTTATGAGTTGGGAGGCTTCGCCTCTGTGGTGTGGGCCTTTATGAGTTGGGAGGCTTCGCCTCTGTGGTGTGGGCCTTTATGAGTTGGGAGGCTTCGCCTCTGTGGTGTGGGCCTTTGTGAGTTGGGAGGCTTCGCCTCTGTGGTGTGGGCCTTTGTGAGTTGGGAGGCTTCGCCTCTGTGGTGTGGGCCTTTGTGAGTTGGGAGGCTTCGCCTCTGTGGTGTGGGCCTTTGTGAGTTGGGAGGCTTCGCCTCTGTGGTGTGGGCCTTTGTGAGTTGGGAGGCTTCGCCTCTGTGGTGTGGGCCTTTGTGAGTTGGGAGGCTTCGCCTCTGTGGTGTGGGCCTTTGTGAGTTGGGAGGCTTCGCCTCTGTGGTGTGGGCCTTTGTGAGTTGGGAGGCTTCGCCTCTGTGGTGTGGGCCTTTGTGAGTTGGGAGGCTTCGCCTCTGTGGTGTGGGCCTTTGTGAGTTGGGAGGCTTCGCCTCTGTGGTGTGGGCCTTTGTGAGTTGGGAGGCTTCGCCTCTGTGGTGTGGGCCTTTGTGAGTTGGGAGGCTTCGCCTCTGTGGTGTGGGCCTTTGTGAGTTGGGAGGCTTCGCCTCTGTGGTGTGGGCCTTTGTGAGTTGGGAGGCTTCGCCTCTGTGGTGTGGGCCTTTGTGAGTTGGGAGGCTTCGCCTCTGTGGTGTGGGCCTTTGTGAGTTGGGAGGCTTCGCCTCTGTGGTGTGGGCCTTTGTGAGTTGGGAGGCTTCGCCTCTGTGGTGTGGGCCTTTGTGAGTTGGGAGGCTTCGCCTCTGTGGTGTGGGCCTTTGTGAGTTGGGAGGCTTCGCCTCTGTGGTGTGGGCCTTTGTGAGTTGGGAGGCTTCGCCTCTGTGGTGTGGGCCTTTGTGAGTTGGGAGGCTTCGCCTCTGTGGTGTGGGCCTTTGTGAGTTGGGAGGCTTCGCCTCTGTGGTGTGGGCCTTTGTGAGTTGGGAGGCTTCGCCTCTGTGGTGTGGGCCTTTGTGAGTTGGGAGGCTTCGCCTCTGTGGTGTGGGCCTTTGTGAGTTGGGAGGCTTCGCCTCTGTGGTGTGGGCCTTTGTGAGTTGGGAGGCTTCGCCTCTGTGGTGTGGGCCTTTGTGAGTTGGGAGGCTTCGCCTCTGTGGTGTGGGCCTTTGTGAGTTGGGAGGCTTCGCCTCTGTGGTGTGGGCCTTTGTGAGTTGGGAGGCTTCGCCTCTGTGGTGTGGGCCTTTGTGAGTTGGGAGGCTTCGCCTCTGTGGTGTGGGCCTTTGTGAGTTGGGAGGCTTCGCCTCTGTGGTGTGGGCCTTTGTGAGTTGGGAGGCTTCGCCTCTGTGGTGCCTTTGGTCCACCATCGTAACTGATCTTTCGTAACCAGCTACGAACATGGATTTTTTTTCTTCCTTTGATAACCAGCTACGAAAACAGAATTAATTTGTCGTTTTGGTAACCAAGTTTCGTAACCAGCTACGATACAAGATTTTTATTTCTTTTTCTGTAACTGGTTACTAATCGGGAATAATTATTCTAGGTTTGTAACCATGTAAGGCTAAGAACTCACGGAGCGATTTTCGCCCGCGTCCGCTGCGGTTGCGGGACCGCAGCTTCTGTAGAATTCACGTAATAATACCCGCAGCCTCGGCGGGTGGCACCCGCGCGCTTTGCGGTCGGTGGCGAGCGACCGCGGGGTCCGGCGGGTCTTCTGTGAAGTAAATATAACGCAACGGCTCGTTTCTGGTGTGTGTCCATGGCAGTCTGGACCTCAACTGATCGTTAACCGCCCGTCTTGCAATCTTGCGATCATCGCCCGCCACGTTTGCGGGCGATGATCGCAACCGCGGCGGCTGTGTAACCGCGCAAATAACCGGTCTCGTGAGTTTGGAAATAAAACCGCAGTTCCGCTACCGCGGCGGGCACGGTTCAAAATCGCTCCGTGAGTTCTTAGCCTTAGCCTTCGCCTCTGTGGTGTGGGCCTTTGTGAGTTGGGAGGCTTCGCCTCTGTGGTGTGGGCCTTTGTGAGTTGGGAGGCTTCGCCTCTGTGGTGTGGGCCTTTGTGAGTTGGGAGGCTTCGCCACTGTGGTGTGGGCCTTTGTGAGTTGGGAGGCTTCGCCTCTGTGGTGTGGGCCTTTGTGAGTTGGGAGGCTTCGCCTACGTGGTGTGGGCCTTTGTGAGTTGGGAGGCTTCGCCTCTGTGGTGTGGGCCTTTGTGAGTTGGGAGGCTTCGCCTCTGTGGTGTGGGCCTTTGTGAGTTGGGAGGCTTCGCCTCTGTGGTGTGGGCCTTTGTGAGTTGGGAGGCTTCGCCTCTGTGGTGTGGGCCTTTGTGAGTTGGGAGGCTTCGCCTCTGTGGTGTGGGCCTTTGTGAGTTGGGAGGCTTCGCCTCTGTGGTGTGGGCCTTTGTGAGTTGGGAGGCTTCGCCTACGTGGTGTGGGCCTTTGTGAGTTGGGAGGCTTCGCCTCTGTGGTGTGGGCCTTTGTGAGTTGGGAGGCTTCGCCTCTGTGGTGTGCCTTTGGTCCACCATCGTAACTGATCTTTCGTAACCAGCTACGAACATGGATTTTTTTTCTTCCTTTGATAACCAGCTACGAAAACAGAATTAATTTGTCGTTTTGGTAACCAAGTTTCGTAACCAGCTACGATACAAGATTTTTATTTCTTTTTCTGTAACTGGTTACTAATCGGGAATAATTATTCTAGGTTTGTAACCATGTAAGGCTAAGAACTCACGGAGCGATTTTCGCCCGCGTCCGCTGCGGTTGCGGGACCGCAGCTTCTGTAGAATTCACGTAATAATACCCGCAGCCTCGGCGGGTGGCACCCGCGCGCTTTGCGGTCGGTGGCGAGCGACCGCGGGGTCCGGCGGGTCTTCTGTGAAGTAAATATAACGCAACGGCTCGTTTCTGGTGTGTGTCCATGGCAGTCTGGACCTCAACTGATCGTTAACCGCCCGTCTTGCAATCTTGCGATCATCGCCCGCCACGTTTGCGGGCGATGATCGCAACCGCGGCGGCTGTGTAACCGCGCAAATAACCGGTCTCGTGAGTTTGGAAATAAAACCGCAGTTCCGCTACCGCGGCGGGCACGGTTCAAAATCGCTCCGTGAGTTCTTAGCCTTAGCCTTCGCCTCTGTGGTGTGGGCCTTTGTGAGTTGGGAGGCTTCGCCTCTGTGGTGTGGGCCTTTGTGAGTTGGGAGGCTTCGCCTCTGTGGTGTGGGCCTTTGTGAGTTGGGAGGCTTCGCCTCTGTGGTGTGGGCCTTTGTGAGTTGGGAGGCTTCGCCTCTGTGGTGTGGGCCTTTGTGAGTTGGGAGGCTTCGCCTCTGTGGTGTGGGCCTTTGTGAGTTGGGAGGCTTCGCCTACGTGGTGTGGGCCTTTGTGAGTTGGGAGGCTTCGCCTACGTGGTGTGGGCCTTTGTGAGTTGGGAGGCTTCGCCTCTGTGGTGTGGGCCTTTGTGAGTTGGGAGGCTTCGCCTCTGTGGTGTGGGCCTTTGTGAGTTGGGAGGCTTCGCCTCTGTGGTGTGGGCCTTTGTGAGTTGGGAGGCTTCGCCTCTGTGGTGTGGGCCTTTGTGAGTTGGGAGGCTTCGCCTACGTGGTGTGGGCCTTTGTGAGTTGGGAGGCTTCGCCTCTGTGATGTGGGCCTTTGTGAGTTGGGAGGCTTCGCCTCTGTGGTGTGGGCCTTTGTGAGTTGGGAGGCTTCGCCTCTGTGATGTGGGCCTTTGTGAGTTGGGAGGCTTCGCCTCTGTGGTGTGGGCCTTTGTGAGTTGGGAGGCTTCGCCTACGTGGTGTGGGCCTTTGTGAGTTGGGAGGCTTCGCCTCTGTGGTGTGGGCCTTTGTGAGTTGGGAGGCTTCGCCACTGTGGTGTGGGCCTTTGTGAGTTGGGAGGCTTCGCCTACGTGGTGTGGGCCTTTATGAGTTGGGAGGCTTCGCCTCTGGTGTAGGCCTTTGAGTAGTTGGGAGGCTGGGCCTCTTTGTATAGTGTACCTACGAGCCTTCCGTGAATTGAAAGGTCGCGCCTCTGAGTGATGTAGGCACTCGGGTGTGGAACATCTCATAAACTACAATACTGAAAACAACCATCACATTTTCACAAGTTTATTTGGACAAGACCCACTTATGATTAGACAATACTATATACTCTGTGAGGAACCAAAGCAGGCTGATGGCCGAGAGAGTCACAAATGTCAGCAGTGACACAGCTAAGTGCGCATTTCTGTTCAATGCATAATCGTCGTTCGGCCACTGTACTGCAATCAGCTCCTGGAGACAAACAATTGTATTAGTAAAATTATTTCAAGTATAGGTTGCAGATTCTTAGGTGCCGAAGTTTGCATAACCATTATTACATGCTTGCCACAAGACTGGCAATAAACATGCTACCCTATGAACTTCCAGATTGGCTGGATAGGACGAGCCCAAGCTGTCGCATTTCTTCCGGGGTAGTCAATGCTATAAGTACAGCGGCTCCGGCTTTGAGTAGAAGATACTTGTTGGGTTTTGGTTAGAGTAATAAGCCTTCTACGCTCCTTACAAGTCTCTCCTCAAAAAACCTACCTAGCCTATTTCTTGCTAAGTTTGTCAGGTCATCTGTATACATCATAATCTAGGATACTAAATATATATTTTAAACAAACTATGAACACTGTATCCTGTATGTACCGCTCTTCATTGCAATATGCGCGCCCCTTCTGCGCCTTGAGTGCCTTGACCTCACTCCAACTTATCAAATTTCCGCTCACCTGGTTAGCAAGAGAGTCCACAGCACGGTCCTGGCAAGGGCCCACAAGGGCCGCATCCACCGATGGATGGGTGGCAACAGTTCGAGTATAAACAGTAGCCGCCGCTGTGGGCGCCGCCATAGTATCCACCATATAAACTGGCATGGTGTTTAAAATTAATAAACTATCAATTTGTTATCTTTGTGTATCTTTTTTGGTTTTTGTGTGTCCAAAAGAAGTGGTTGTCGTTCAGGTCCTTACAGAAAAATGACCGAAGATGTCAAATAGCGTTCCAATTTTAAACAATTGTCAGAAGACGAATTTTCGGCCAGCACCAAATGAGTTCTTTATTATTGTCTATCATAGATAAATAGGTTTGAATAACTGAAAGATAGGCCATCGACACACGCCGTGTTTAGTGATCATATAATTTTCGTTATAATGCACTTGCAAGTGTAACGTTAATTATCCGTTTGAGGCAAACCGTTTTGTAATCGAAGAAACATTTATAGAATTTATAGAATATCGGAAATCCTCACACGTGGAAAGTGTTCCGAGCCACACTTGTTTTTTTACGTCTTTATGTAGGTACCTACATAAGACTTATGTAGGTCGGCAAACTCTCAGACGGCTTACCTGATGGTAAGCAATCAGCACCGCCCATGGACACTCGTAATACCAAAAGAGTTATTACAAGCGCGTTGCTGGCCTTTCATGTTTGTTGTGGGTCATAATGAATTTAAGGATAGGGGATTTGAAGAATGAGGACGGGGAGGGGAAGGATTGGGTCTCCGGTAACCACACTCACACGGCGAAACACTAACTGCTTCACGCCGGTTTTTTGTGAAGTGAAGAATATATTACTCCGGTCGGGCTGGCCCGTTTGGAGCCACATGCGCGTTATTGGAGTCTAAAAATACCAAATTGATCAGCATTGCTTGATGAAAATGTATGATAAAGCTTCCATTATCGCAATCAGTTGGGTTAGAATAATATAAATAATGACTATTTACCTACGTAGTAAGATTTTACCCAGAAAAGTCTAATCACTCTCCATACTAAACTTTGTGACGACGATACTATAAGGCTGGCCGCATACACACGTTTTACGTATTCGATTTCCTAATGCGGAATTTCGATTTGGAATTCCGTGAGACTAGCGCAAACGTTCGTTTTTCTTCATTCGGAATGTATACACGTCAGTATAGATAGTGATAGCGTAGTGAACGCACGACGATGGAGGACGACGATTTATTAGCAATTGCATTTCTGTTGACAATAAAGAAGAAAAAGAAACGTCGGTATTGGGTACATCCATTGAATACTCGGAGAATCTACGAGAGTTCGTTTTATCTGAAGAGAACTAAGTTACGAGCACACCCAGATAAATTCTTTGATTTCTACAGGATGTCAATAAATTCTTTTGATGAACTTCATAATGGCATACGTGATAAATTAATAAAGCAAAATACCTCCATGAGATTATCCTTGGATACAGAAGAAAAACTAACCGTAACCTTGAGGTAAGTTCTCTTTATTTTTACATCTATATTTACAAAAATAACAAATCAACTATCTTAGTTAAACTTTAGGTATTTGCCAATATTATCTTCCTGTTCTTGTCCTTGAGATTGTACAACTAAAAAACTTGCAGCTTCGGTATCTTCGGCATGTTGAAGATTAGGTGATGTGTAGTGATGACGTGGTGGTTGAAGCGGTGGCAGATGTCTAATAGAGTTAATAACCACTCTGGAATTGTTTGGGGCAGATTGATAATTAGTGATTTTATTTTGCGAAGAAGATGTACTAATAAAGGTGGGCAATGGAGTTTCTGGTACAGGAATATATGAAAAAGAGGGGGAATAATCACGGCTTGATGCCGGCGTTTCTGAACGGTGACTGAAGTTATCATAACTCAGTGAAGAAGATGGAGATGAATTGTACTCAGTATTGATTTTTTTTACCAACTGCAACATTCCCAATTTAAAATCAATTTTTTGATTTTCATTCATATGTTTCATATGTGTTCTAAAGCTCAATAAAAATTTCATGTCGTCGTCTTCTACTTCTTGTTGTTTCTGATTGGCTTTCTGTTGATTTTGATGTAGGATACTGAGTATTTGGGAGGGGATATCTTTTTTGTTTCGTTTTAAACTACTTGCAGGTGGAGTTGATACAGGTGATGGAGGTTGTAATATATTTGTATGGTGATCTATTTGTTCCACGCTGTGTTCTTGCGTTTCAGATTCTTGTGAACTATTATTGTGTAAATCATCGAATTGATAGTTTCCTTCGGTATTTCTTTTATCGAATACCGGTATAAGAAAATACAACAGGTCTGCATAAACATATTTTTTAACCTTTTTAGCGGCACTGCCTGTAGGAGCGCTTTTATTTTTTTGAAAGTCTCTTCGAAAGTAGTCTCTTATGTGTGTCCATTTTTTCTTTGCCTCAGCACCTGAAATGTAATTAATATTATTTTATATCTTTTTTTCAGATTCCTGGCAACGGGTAAAAATTTTGAAGAGTTACACTTTGAATATTTGATGGGGAGCAGGACCGTATCAGCCGTAGTTAAGGAAACCTGTACAGCAATATGGGAAGTTTTTCAACCTTTGGAAATGAAGCCACCATCTTCAAAAGAACGTTGGCTAGAAATTGCTGAAAATTATTATAGAAGAACCAATTTCCCTAATTGCGTAGGTTCAGTGGATGGGAAACATATTCGTTTGATTTCTCCTCTGCATAGTGGATCTGCCTTTTATAACTATAAACATTTCTACTCTGTTGTACTATTAGCAGTGGTAGATTCTGACTACCGTTTTATAGCTGTAGATGTCGGTGCTTATGGCAGAGACAGCGATAGTAATATTTTTAACAACTGGAATTTTGGAAAAAAGTTAATTCAAAATCGTCTTAATATGCCTGAAGCAAAACCTCTGCCGAATACCAATGACACACCACTACCTTTTGTGTTTCTTGGCGATGAAGCGTTTCCACTGAATAACAATTTTATGAAACCATATCCGAGAAGTAATCTCAATACCCAACGCAGAATTTTTAACTACCGCCTCAGCAGATCACGACGTGTAGTGGAATGTGCCTTCGGTATTCTCTCGAATAAATGGAGAATTTTTCACACTAGCATGACGATTCCACCAGAATTTGCAGTATTAGTAACAAAGACTGCGTGTGTGTTACATAATTTTGTACGCAGACGAGACGGCTATCGATTTGAAGATACTCTGACACATTACTTCGAAGATATACCTTACCGTAGTCCACAACACAGATCCACAAACCGAGGTCGAAACATAAGAGACAATTTTGCTGAGTACTTTATGACACCGGCAGGGGAAATATCGTACCAATATAACGAGAGAATTAATAATTTACAAGAATAAATGTGGGCACTATTGTATTAAAAAGTATATAGAAAATATCTTACCTTTGTTTTCTTTGTCCACTTTAGTGCACGTGTCCCAATCCTTTATAACCTCTTTAAATACATTCTCCCAGGCCAAATCTTTGACATCTTTGTTGTGATAGTCATTGTCATGAATATTCCACAGGCAGGGGTATTTTTCAACAGCCAATATTAATGTTTCTGCCTCACACATTATCGTGTTGCGATTCTATGCGTAACAAATACAAAGAATACGTCCGATGCGCGCGCCGCGGGCGCAAAACTGAATAGAAATTTCCGAACGTGTGCGCCGGCACAAACAAAATGTATGCAAGCGCTGCGTTCCGCATGACGTCATTAGGTTTTTTCCCGTACGTTTCTCCGAACGCGCCGGCTTGCATTCGGAATACACGTTCGGATTTTGTTCCGTACGGAAAAAAAACGAACGTGTGCGTCAGTTAATGTATTTTATATTGAATCTATGCATTCGGATGCCCGCATACGGAAAACGAATTCGGAAACCTAATACGGAAACCGTATGTCTGCGGCCGGCCTAAAAAGCCTAAATTACTGGCCAAAATAGTTCTAAAAAAAAAGAAACAATCACGACACCTCATTTTGAAGCATACTTACAACTGTCAAAACCCACCAGTCTGATATCTGCTGCGAAAAAAAAAAACAACACAAAAAAAGCGTGAAAAAAATCCAAAAAAAATATATAAAAATATTTTAATTAAAATTTTATAAAACAGTCTCTGTGCGGCACTCGTACGGCCTGGTCGTGTTTTTGTCGCGTTCGATTGGCTATCGCATAGCAACACGTAGGTATATTAGGTGTGCGCCGGGCCGCCCGGTTGCATTGCCTGGTAAATATGAATGACAACATAAGCGCATCGCCGCGTTGCGTTACGCCGATTTTTATGGTTGACAGCTATCTAGAGAACAATACGCCTGAGCTAAGTGAGCTTATGAGTAATGAATTATTGTCAAGAGCATCCAAGAGAGAACGAGAAGGGAGTACGGATGAAGAGGAGACATGGACAGAAGTAAAGGAAAAGAAGAAATCACGGTACGGCAGCAATAATACAATTAAAGAAGAAATGAAAAACCAAGTTTACATATCTAGTAAGGAACGTCTCCCTAAGCAATTTGCAATGGCTCGGATTTTGAAAGAAAACAATATAACTAAAGTTAATCAAGTCAAATTCTTAAGTCCTTTTAAAATTCGTCTGCAATTTGAGTGTGAAAAAGCTGCTCAAAGTCTTTTTACGTGCGAGAAGCTTTTAGAGAAAAGTTGGAGATTCCAAAAGGCCTCAGAATTATCTGTTTGTTATGGTCTGATCAAAGATGTCGACCTTGACCTCGCTGATGATGAGATACTTCAAAATATATCGTGCCCGGCCCCAGCAAAACTTATTTCACTTCAAAGACTTAATCGAAGAAATAGAGATGAAGGCGGTTGGTGCCCGAGTGAAACTCTTAGATTATGTTTTGACGGTAGCCATCTCCCTGCCACTGTTCGCGTATGCGATATCAACGTGAGGGTTTTCCCCTATATTCATCAGGTATCCCAATGTTCGAAATGCTGGAAATTAGGCCATACCCGTAAAATGTGTCCCTCCAAAAATGTAATTTGTCCTAAGTGTGGCGGTCATCATGAGAATTGCGATACCACATTGTTTTCCTGCGTCAATTGTACTGGAGACCACATATCCTTGAGTAAGGCCTGTCCTGTGTACAAAAAAGAAAGGAAGCTGAG